TACTGTGTACTTTTACCAAGGTCATATGCACAGTATACTGTGTACTTTTACTAAGATCATGTGCACAGTATACTCATCTTTAAAAAATGAAAGCCTTTGAGATGTGACCTGTATGCAGGAAAAAAATTTAAAAAAATCAAACTAGTCAAAAATATTTTTTCTGTTTTTATCCTCAAGCCTTAAATATGCTGCGAGTGCCTCTCTTGGAAAGTTTAATGACGAGGAAGAGGATGAGGAGGAGAATGAAGAAGTTGGACTCAAGCAACTCCTTAAAGAGTCTGCCACTCTGACATAATCTGTCCCTTTGTCTGTTTTCTTTGTGTTTCTATTGTCTTTATTTTCTTTTTCTGCTTCTTGTGTCATTTCTCTGTTCCCTGACATTCTTCACCCACTCTTCAACCTGTCTCCCCAGCCACTCATCACTCACACCAGTTGCCAATCAGTAATCATCCCAGGTGCGCTCATCTCTCACTATTCTCCTGCCTTATTTAAACCTCACTAAAACATCTGCTCATTGTTCAACTAGAGACGTCCCAGTATTCCTCTGTGTCCTGCGCCTGTTCGCTCCCTGATCTGTCCAGTCCTGTTCCTGTCTGCCTCCTGATCTGTGTAAGCTTTGCTGCCATGTCAGTTTTTGTTTTGTCGTTTATTAAATTACTTATGATTTAAATCTTGCTCTCCTTGCCTGCCTGCATTTCGGTCTAAAACCAAGGATCGCGACACTGAGCAGCTTAAAAATTCAAAGCAGTCCATAAGATGGCTGACTGAGAACATTTGTATATATTAATCTTTATATTATTTATTTATTTATTTATTTATTTTTTGCTGTCTTTATTGTAAAGATTGTGGAAAACTAAAGACTTTGGCAGACAACCCGATTCTGTCAAGAGGTTGTTCGCTGGACAACCTGAAAAATTTCCTTATGCCTACCCCTGCTTGTCACTCCCAAGGAGAGCCTCAACTTGAACACTTCCATTTTTATCCTCCTGTCTTTTTGTTGTTGCCACTGTCTCCAAACCAAACAGCTGGTCTCATCACTCTTGTAAACCTGTCTTTTGACATTTGCTGCCAACCTTTTGTCAAACATCACTCCTGAAACTTTTCTCAGAGCCAATCCTTGAAGCTGTCTGTCACTCCTACAGCACATCTCACCACTGTCCTGCTGTCCTCATACAGGTCCTGTACCAGTCTAACATACTTCTCTGCCACTCCAGATTTCCTCATGCAACACCACACCTCCTCCCTCGGCACCTTGTCATATGCTTTTTCTAAATCCACAAAGACACAATGGAGTTCTTTCTGACCCTCTCTGTGCTTCTCCATCAGCATCCTCAAAGCAAAGACATCTGGGTGATATTCCAACATCTTGTGTTGAAGAATGCATTAGTGATTGTTTTAGAGAAGTACATGTTAAACTCTATGGTATGGGAGAATAAGAAGAGAACTAGAAAGTTCCTGGAGAAACTTTAATGGGACTGCTTATTTATTAATAAATTATTAATAATAATAAATATTAATATTAATGATTAATAATATTAATAATCAACACTAAGTATTAATATAACTAATTATTAATATATTGTTAATTTATTACTTATCAAAATATTAATAATCAATAATCTAAATTAATAATATCCACATCAATAATTAGCATTAATATTAAATATTACTTATTAATATTAATAATTATTGATATTAAAATAGATCATTATTAACATTAATAATTTATAATTAATATTAATTACAAACCGGATTCCTAAAAAGTTGAGACACTAAACAAATTGTGAATAAACACTGAATGCAATGATGTGGAGATGGCAAATGTCAATATTTTATTCGTAATATAACATAGATGACAGATAAAAAGTTTAATCTGAGTAAATGTAACATTTTAAAGGAAAAATATGTTGATTCAAAATTTCACAGTGTCAACAAATCCCAAAAAAGTTGGGACAAGTAGCAATAAGTGGCTGGAAAAAGGAAATTGAGCATATAACGAACAGCTGGAAGACCAATTAACACTAATTAGGTCAATTGACAACATGATTGGGTATAAAAAGAGATTCTCAGAGTGTCAGTGTCTCTCAGAAGCCAAGATGGTAAGAGGATCACCAATTCCACCATTGTTGCGCACAGAAAGATAGTGCAGCAATACCAGAATGGTGTTACCCAGCGCAAAATAGCAAAGACTTTTAAGTTATCATCATCAACCGTGCATAACATCATCAAAAGATTCAGATAATCTGGAACAATTGCTGTGCGTAAGGGTCAAGGCCGTAAAACTCTACTGGATGCTCGTGATCTCCGGGCCCTTAAACGTCACTACACCTAAAACAGGAATGCCACTGTCAAGGAAATAACAGAATGGGCTCAGGAATACTTCCAGAAAGCATTGTCAGTGAACACAATCCACCGTGCCATCCGCCGTTGCCAGCTGAAACTCTACAGTGCAAAGAGGAAGCCATTTCTAAGCAAGCTCCACAAGCTCAGACGTTTGCACTGGGCCAGGGGTCATTTAAAATGGAGTGTGGCAAAATGGAAGACTGTTCTGTGGTCAGATGAGTCACGATTTGAAGTTCTTTATGGAACACTGGGACACCATGTCATCCGGACCAGAGAGGACAAGGATAGCCCAAGTTGTTATCAACGCTCCGTTCAGAAGCCTGCATCACTGATGGTATGGGGTTGCATGAGCGCTTGTGGCATGGGCAGCTTGCATGTCTGGAAAGGCACCATTAATGCAGAGAACTATGTTCAGGTTCTAGAACAACA